TATATATAAAATAAACTATTGAAGTCAAAGTATTTCGGTCATCTATATTTTATCTTAAAATTTAAAAATAATATAAAATAAATTAAGGTTAAATAATAAAATAAGTAATTAATAATTTAAAGATTTGAGTAATTATTGGTGGTTAACTTAATTATTTGAGTAATAAGAATAGAAGTAATTAACTTTCGATGTATGATAGAAAATATGTTGATTAGACAAACTAAAATCCTTTTTTCTAAATACCAAATATTAATTATAAATATTATTTCATATTATACAAAAAAAAAAAAAAAAGTCTTCATGGATTTATGAGATACACAAGAGTGATAGAATAGTCCGAGTGATTTAAAGAAAACAAAATATGATTGATGTGATAAAGCTCGTATGGATTTGAATCCTTTCACTAACATAACAATTAACATTAGTTGATAAAAATAATGTTATTAGATACACTAAATTTAGAATGAATTGTTACTCATGAATCATGATATTATATTTTATCACATTAATGGTAAAATCCTATTAATGACAAATTACCTCATATTGTGTTATGATGTCCTAAAGTAAATTTTCATAATTCTCTATTACAACAAGATAAAATAAAGAGTGCATAAGAAGAGAAAAAACATGTAAAAAAAGTTTAAAGGTCATATATATATATATAATAATGTATTTTTTTAATTTGTATTATTTTGAAAACTTTAAGCAATCAAATTAAAACTTATTTTTTAGAAAAGTTATATGTAATTTTATCATTTAAAAAATAATTTATTTCATATCTTATTGATATATATTAAATATAGAGCGTATAATTCATAAAAAAAATATGCAACATATAATAATAATATTATCTATTTTGTTATTATGATGCGTACAAAACATTATATTGGATTAAATTAAATTTACATTAGTCTTATGATATTTTATTTTAATCTTGAGTTGTTAATCTTATTATAAAATATTAATTCTTAATAGTACGATTGTTTTAAATATTTAAAAAAAATATAATTATCCTTGTTTAAATAAATTTAATTTGTTATCACAATTAAAGTGTATATTTATCATGACGATCTGAATAGTCACAATATAAATATCAGACTGATTTATATCATAATTATTGTCGGTGAAGGTTTTGTAAAAAAAATACACATAAAATTTATGCAAGTCTTCTTATGTGTGAAACCATAATTGTAATTATCAATTAGAAATAATAATTTTTGTTATAATTACTATTTTAGAATTATGTTTTATGATTCTTAAAATATACTTTCAAAAATTACATTTAAAAAGGTACTTTTTGAATAACATATTTCTTCAAAAATACTTTCTAAAAGAATATTTTTCTTTATAAATATACTTTCTAAAAGTATATTTTTATTTTTTGGAAGTATATTTTTTTATAAAAAGAAAATTACAAATTAATGTCGGAAGAAACGGACGTGGGTGAAAAGTTTTTGGGAATAATAAGTATTTAAAGAACAAAGAAAAAAAGAAAGAAAATGGTAAGAAAGTATATTATGAATGGGCTTGGGTGTATTTTAAAATTTATTGAAAATTGGATACAATAAAGTGTAAAAATGAATTCCTCTCCTAATACAATGAAATACTGTGATATGGGTTTGCACAATCAGCATCTAGCTTAATATCAATGGTAATTTACAAAATAATAGTATCTTATTTCTCTTTGCAGTTTGCACACAAGAAAAAGAAAGGAAATAATTTGAATGTAAATAATCGATTCATTTCTATATATTTTGTTGTTCTACTTTTTTGCATATATAAATTGATTCATTTATAAATCATCCTATGTAATGACAAAATACAATTTTTTTAAATTGACATCTTTCATGATTTTTGACGAAAAGATAAAATCTTTAAAAGATATATCATGAAAATATACAACCTTTTATATTTGCATTTTTTTCTATAAAAGAACACAATTTGCAATTAACTTTTCCTATTTGTATATTTTTTATTTGTGAATATAGATACATATTTAATTTCGTGAAATGATAGAATTAATCTTTCATCATTTTAAAAATCTCTAGTATATTATAACTGATTTGTCATATTATATATATATATATATATATATATATATATATATATATTTTTTTTGGAAGTGGCACTATATGTATCATATACATATATTGTTAGTATTGTTAATATTATATACAATAGTACTATTTACATAAGCGTATATAATTAGTTCTATTTTTATGAAAGAATTAAAAGTTCCAACTAAAAAAATTGATGTTTTTTTTTAACGAATATGATATGGTTTTAGATGTATTTTTAAGATAGTCCACGCAATCTTATACATTCCTGTATCATTAATTAGAATTCTCACAATACTATTTTTTTTTTCAAAAGAGGGACTAATTAAGCTCATTGTGATAGACTAGTTTGATCAAATAATTTTTCTTTAAAAAAGTAAATGTAAATTATTATTAGTCTCTTGGAACACTTGCTGATTCAGACGGCCATAGAAAGATAGAGTTCTTTTTAGAAAAACATAGAAAGATAGTTGCTAACATTACTTAATATATATAAAAAAAATGATAGTTTGTCATATTAACCATAAATATAGTGATGTAAAATTAATAGTGGAAGTCAAAATATAACCTTGAGGAAACGGGTGGATGGCATCCATGTTACATTTAACTGATTTGAACCAAAAAAATAGAAGTTGAATTCCTCCTTTTTTGGAATCCATCTAAAACGACGACACCTCATGTTCTCAAATCTCCCCCTTTTCTCTCCGAGACATTTTAGGAACTTAACCTCGTCGTTTTTGCTTGCCTCCAAAACATGGATTCCTCTTCTCATCTTTCTCTGTTAATCTCTTTTCCATTCTCTTAGGCTCTCGAACCCTTTCGCGGGGGTCCCTTCAACGTTGCTGTTGATTGAGGGACCCTCGTCTTTAATTTTCTAATTCTTATTCATTTAGCTAACCATATTCATATATACACGATCCAGAGAGAGAGAGAGAGAGAGACGTGTTTTTTGTCGTTGTTTCTCTGGCTGAAGATATTGTTTAGAAGAAGACTTCGTAGATACTACCATTTATAATTTTCTTGCACCACCTACAAGACTGCTACTTCTTGTTGGTTGTTTATTTCATATCTATAGGTGAAAAGCATGAATTGCTTCCCTTGTTGTGGCCAAAAGAAAAGTCAAAGTAAGAGGGAGCATGGTTCACCCCCACCCGAACCTGAAAACATGCCAGCAAAAGCACCAGGTATATATGTTCCCAAATATGCATGCATGCAGGCATACAATAGTGATTCTTTTTTTTTTTTTTAATTAGGTGATTCTGCGGCATCTATTTATATTATAAATCACAAGAATGCATGCATGACTAAGAGGGATATGATCTAAATGGGAGCTTATAACATAAATCATAGCAATTTTGTCATGAGTACTATACTAGTTAGTTTGCATGCATTAAACCATTGTGGTTAATTACATGCATGGCTCGGTTGACATGCAGAAATGAAGAAACAAAAACCGGACGAGCTCGTCCCAGCGGAATCTGTGAATATTAAAGTACAGAGTTACACTTTCCGTGAGCTTGCCACAGCAACAAAGAACTTCCGTCAGGATTGCCTCATCGATGAAGGAGGATTCGGCAGAATATACAAAGGGATAATTCCTGCCACAGGCCAGGTCATAAGGCTTTTTCTTTTGCACAAGCAGAAAAAGAATAAGTTCTGTATTTCGTTATTTTTTTTTTTTCACTTTGTTTTTGTTTGGATCTTCCTCCAGGTTGTGGCCGTGAAGCAACTCGACCGCAAAGGGATGCAAAATGGTAATGAATTTCTGAGCGAGGTTGCGGAGCTAAGTCTCTTGCACCATGAAAATCTGGTCAATCTCATTGGTTATTGTGCCGATGGTGATCAACGTCTTTTGGTTTACGAGTTATTTGATGGGCGCACACTAGAAAATCGTCTCTTTGGTAAGACAAATATACAATCACGCACTCTTCCATACATTCTTTATTACTAGTCTAATGATATTTACTTATTTGGACTCCCTTACATATCAAACACCCCATTAATATCTATTATTTTTTTTCATCTCTTTTTCAATCAAATCATGTTATCTATTATGCATACATTTTTTTTTATCTCTTTTCTCTCTTCCTTTCTCTATATTTCAGATAAGCTAGCATTGGGTTTGTTCATCGATCATTTTCTTTATTATTATACAAGATTTATTAAAAATCACAAATTCTATAGGTCTCTTTTCTTATTAATCAGATTCACTCAAAATTTTATAATTTTTTTAATAAATTTTAATTAATAATAAAGAATATATTAGAAATTGAAAAGCCATTATATAATTTAGGACTATTAATGACCAGATCAATTTTCATAAAGATCTATTAAGATTATAAATATATGGTGGTTTGAATCTATGTGATAATTTCTTATGTTGTTATAATTAGTGCTCTTCCCGTCTCCTTCTTTACATAAATAACCTCTCATCAAAATTTGATAAGATGTACATATTCTTGTACCTTGATCTATGTTAGTTTTGGTTGAGAGATTCAATCTAACACAAAGCACTTGTGTGACAGAGAACAAAGCGGATGAAGGTCCATTAAACTGGTATGACAGAATGAAAATAGCAGCGGCTGCTTCTAAAGGACTGGAGTACTTGCATGAGAGTGTGAACCCCCCAATTATATTCCGTGACCTGAAAGCGTCCAACATCTTGGTGGACAATGATTTCAATGCTAGACTACGTGATTTTGAAATGAGCAAACTTTCTGGTGGAGACAAGATGCATAATGCACCTCCAAGGCTTATGGGTACCTATGGTTACTGCGCTCCAGAGTATGGAAGAGCAGGTCAACTCACCATGAAATCAGACGTATACAGTTTCGGAGTTGTCATCCTAGAGCTCATCACTGGACGAAGAGCCATTGACACCACAAGACCAAACGAAGAGCAAAACCTAGTTTCATGGGTAAAATATTAATATGACACTCTCTTATGGATGTTGTTTATGAGAATTACGATGGTAATTATAGTTTATAAGCCAATGTACAATATAACATATGTTTTTGATGTATCTATATTTATATGATAATCATGTTATTGTTACAGCGTAAATCAGCGTTGCTAATAACCAATGATAATGATAGTTATAATTTATAAGACAAAGTACGATATAGTATGTGTTTATGATGTATCAATATGTTTATTTTGTATTTATTGATATAAAGTATCTATTAATTTTGCCACAACTAATTTATGATTTTTGTGACTGAGCAGGCACAACCGATATTCAGGGATCCTAAAAGATATCCAGACATGGCAGACCCGGTTCTTGGCAAGAATTTCCCAGAAAAAGATCTGAATCAAGTTGTTGCAATAGCATCGATGTGCTTACAGGAGGAAGCAGACGCTCGTCCTTTGATCAGTGACGTTGTAACTGCTCTCAGTTTTCTTTCCACGGCTCCTGTTACTGTCCCTAGCAAGAAAGCTGAGAGTGAGACTGAAGTAAAACCTAGCAAGGCAAAATCAAGAAGCAGAAGCAGCTCCAGATCAAGGAAGGGGTCAGTTTCAGATTCAGGAGGTGACGGAAGCGTTTCTACGATCGGGAAAACCAGCAGGAAGAGCAGCAAAAAATCTTCTGACAAAGAACTAAGCCAGAAGAGCAGCAAGAAGTCTTCTAAAGATCCAAGCCAGAAGAGCAGCAGAAAATCATCGATCAAAGATTTGAGCAAAAAGCTAAGCAGTAGAAAATCTTCTGCGAGAGTTTCGAGCCGCAACAGCAGCATTACATCGGAGGAAGGAAGCATGTCCTCAAGCTGCCGTAGCAGCAGTGTGGTATCTGAGGATGAAGGTGTTATGTCTCAGCATAGCAGCATGAGATCACAATCACGCGGGAACGTTTCTTTTGGCCTTACCAGCAGCAGAAGGTCAGAGAGCGTGCGTTCTGGAAGCAGCTACGGTTCTGATGAGGGAAGCCTTCACTCACAATAATAAAATAAATTTATCTACACTTGTCATCAGCCATGCTCATTCTTTCATATGTTGTTAATGCTTTCTAATTTTTTGCCACTTTTACAACACCGTTCGTGTGAGCGATGCAAGATAATATGCGGGATTCTTTTTTAAACTGCTACTTGAAAATCAAGCGTCCTTAATATTTATCTGTTTTGTTTAGTTGGTATCGTGTACATTTATACTTTATCTACCTTTGGTTCAAGAACTAGAGCCAATATCGGGCTATTGTTGCCATTATTGGGAGTATTATCCCTCTTTGTTCCTTATCATAATTGCAACTCTGAATATATATATATGGGTGCGTGTTAAGTAATGCTACATAAAACAATTTTTCGTTAGTTACCAAGTGAAGGGACTATATTCGTTGCGTTAAATAGTAAAATATAAATGGATGAAAAATGTAAGCTCATGGATTATTCTTTTCTTTGGGATTTCGTCCCGTGTGGTTAGTTGTTACCAAAAAGAGAACAGACACGAACATGGGATGGATGATGTTGAAATTTGATTAGAGTTAAGACTCATTTTCCCACATTGAGTGGCTACGTGCTATTCTGTTCAAGCTATAGGGAGACATGCACTGATTTTCTGAGCTCAATATTAAAATTATAACTGATATAAATTTTACTTAATAATCTTTGAATAACGAAGTTTTAGTACTCGTAAGAGTTAATTACCAACATCGAAAATCCAAAATGTATATCTTTTGGACGGTTATCTCGAGTTCAGATCACAGAATATGCAGTCTCACGAAATCTTAGCCAATGAATGTGTAGTCTATATGCTTTATGACAAGGTTATTGCATAACGTGACATGCAACTTTGGTTGTTATAACATCGATTCATAAACACCATATTGAAAGGAAAATGGCTCAACGCCTTGTTGCTTCACAGTTCACGCTGTGAAATGGACAAGAATTGCATAAAATTGCAGTATTGCTGAATGGTGTAGCCCTTTGGCAATTGCTTAATAAAATGCTTTGGTGAAAGGGTCAAAACTCAAAAGGCTCACATTCTAAAGAGAGGGGGTGTTTAACAAATGAATTTTTGTGTAAGTGCAAGACGAAAGAAAGAAATTGGTGTCAAAGATATTACTACATCGAGCCAATACACTCTCTAAAAATTCTTTCACACAATACTCCTGTGGTACATTTATCTGCAGTTCTAGACATACGCAAATTTCACACTCCACATCTTGAAAGCAACAACTTCATTTGATTGGCTGAAGTGTGTATGGATACTGAAACAAATCACTGAAATCAGGTGATGAATTGGCATGAAAGAATGAAGGTTGCAGTATGCACTGCAAGAGGTTTAAGATACCTCCACGAAGATTGCTGAGAGACCTAGCAACATTTTCTCATTCATGACTACGAGCCCATGGTCTATATAGATTATTGTTAAATTTTTATGCTTTCATTTTAAAACTTGACTAATCTCAATGTTAAACCGCCCATTGCCGAAATCAAAGAGTGTTAGTTCAGAAGAAGAAAAGATATGATCCTAAATTCCTAATTCCTAACAAAATATATTTATTACTGTAAATTTCCTTATTACATGCGACTTTTTCTGTAAAAATTTTACTCCTATAATTTTTTTTTTGTGCAGGAAAGTTTTATATAAAATTTCTATTCATAATTCTTCAATTTTTAAATGCTTAAAATGAATTTATCCGAAACATATAAATTATATGTCTAACACTCAACCGTAGAAAACTAACTTGTAAGGTGAGTGTTATTCAACTTATATACTCTTTAATTGTTTTATTTCTAATCATGGGAGACATGAGGAAAATCTTTTAATTCTTAAATTTATAAATTTATATATATATTTTTTTATTTTCCTGCGGATTAAAATTGGCAGGAAAGTTACCTACGAAATTTTTCTATCATTTAGTAAACTTTACTTGCAAATTTATTTTTACAAAAAAATCTGCAAGAAACAAGATAAAATTTTGACAATATTTTTTGCAAATTTTTATCATGGAAAATTTTTTTATGATCATTAAAAATGTAACAAAATTTACAAAAAAAATTTGTGGATTATTTTTTATAAAAAAGTTTGTGGATTATTTTTTATAAAAAAATTTGTAAGAAATTTCTGTAAATTCTTTTTTCAAATAAATTTGCAAAAAAAAGTTTGTTAAATTATTATTGCAAGAAAATTTACCAAAAAAATCTACAAATATTCTTTTATAGGAAAATTAAGAGAAAAAATGACACTTTTCTAGTAGTGATTCTTATTGTACTAAGTATGTGCATTATATAACTTATACTTTTATTTGCAGTTAACCGACTCTCAATATATTCAAACCAATTGAGCAGTACTTCTGAACTTAAATATAAATAAAATTAACTTGGTTAAAAAAAATAAAATAAGTAATCTATACGCTATTAATTTAACTGTGATCAGAGGATGGTGAAAGAAACTTTAATTAGCTTGAATAGCTGAAGTTTTTACCGATCGATTATGCCAAGAATTGTGTTGATCTAGGAGATTAGATAAATTGTATACGTGAACGACTAATAATCAACTTAGTGATTCCCTTCAAGTGATTTACTTGAGGAAGATACTTTTGTTCCTCAATATGAGATCTCAATCATCTCTTGAGATTTTTTTTTTAACCATTATTGATTGAAATAAGCTATATTACGCTACTTTTAATGAAATGTGATAAAAAAAAAGTGCAACGAATGATTGAGTTTTAAATATAAAAAAACATTGAAGAAAACTATAAATATATGTCTATAAATATTTAAAACGATAAAATTTGTATGGAATTAATTGGAGACTTGTTTTACATCAATAATGTTGCTATTTATAATGTTTCTAGGAAGCTCTTTATGTTAGCCATTTGTTTTCGTATGAATGATTCATGTTACTCCTTTCTTTTGGCAATTATGAATGCACCCCCTTAAAATTATTCACTCAGTAATCAGTAACTCCCTATGCTCTGATTTTGAGTCTTTGCATTATGAAGCAGTATGGTGTAAATAGGAAATGTCGAATTATGTTTTTACATGCTTTAGTTTAACCTATAACAAAATTATTAAGCATAAGTTTAATCTATTTACTTGTTATAAATTTTTTTAAGTTTGGTCTATCATAGTTAAAAGTCTTGCTGACTTATAAAAGCTTTTTTTAGGTGGTCTATTTTATATTTTTACACAACACTATAAATAGGCCAATAAATTTGTAGGTTTAAGTAGCTTAATATAAGCCTAAGTATTGAGTATTTTGTTATTATTAATTTATATATTAAATATAAATATTAATTATAAATTAATATATAATTTTATTCTACACTTTAAATAGGTTTGTTTATTAAACTTATTATGCTTTTCTAAAAACCCAGTGTCTGACATTTTTAATTAAAAAAGACATTCTAAAATGTCCAGTGGCGGACTCAAGTTGGGTTGAGGGTGTGCAAATGTAACCCTTCACCTTGAGAAATTTATAAATATGTATTTAGAATTTTTGCATTTTTTTCCGGTCTATTCTATACATTTGAACCAATAATTCTAATTTTTCATTTTGTTATCAAATTTTGTCTTTTACCAACTAAAAATTTTATTGCTTCTCGTCGTATTTTTATTTCTCTGAGCACTTTATGTTCTATTTAAAAGACATTATATTTCACGTCACATTTCATTTATTTCCATAATAATAAGTTATTTGAGTATTTTTAATTTTTTTTAAATAAGTTGCTTCCATTCGACTTATGGTCCTAGCTAGATCAATCACTAAAAAAGTCTAGGCATGACCAGATTGGGCTACAAGTCCTTAATAGATAGTATGACCTATTTCCACCCTATCAGTTGTCATATAATAGATAACTTATTATTATTATTATTATTTATATTTATTTTTAACATTCAAATACAAATTCAATGTAACCAATTAACAGGTCATAAATAGTTTTAACCGACTTGAATATAATTGTTTCGAATGAAAAATACCAATAGTTCATAATTTTTTTTTAAAAAAAAATATTAAAATTAGGTTGAATCTCTTTAAATAAGTTAACAGATTCATATCTTACGAGAATAATTAGAAGAAAAAAAAAATAAGAAAAAGAATCTTATTATATAATATTTAAATTATGCTTTTTTTAATAGAAATTGACCACAACACAAAATAAATATAAAACTAATATTTTGTAATAAAAACTTTTATTTTAATTTTTTAATCAATATAAAAATATATTTTATTCAATTTTAAAACAATTAATTTATCTTTTTTACACAAATCCACCGAACAAAGAAACCCTTATAGTTTGTTTTGTTCCAAGAAATGAAAGGTACAATTCAATGCTCATTGACTTGACGAATCTAGGATAAAGGATGAAATCCGGCATTCCCTGAATGTAATCAAATCGATGTCCTGCTGGGGTCCATTAAAAAAGTTAGCCAACTTTTATTAATATTATTAATTTGGCGATTTTGGCATATAATTTATAAACACACATAGACTCAGAAAGGTACAGGCATTTTTAAGCGCAATAAGTGAGCAAATGACAGAGTCAACAGTGACAGTTTGGCAGCAACCATAAACATTCAAATTCCAAGCTTTTTCAGATTGGTCATACTTGTCAACAGTAACACACACCCACTTTTCTGCAACAGTTGCTCCTTCACTAAATGCCCCAGTTGTAGCCATAAGGTAGGAATAGGATTACAAGGGTAAATACCGGCCAGATGATGGAGGGTCCCTATCCCATACCTGTACTTTGCTGCTTCCTCATTCAATTGGCAACTTCATTCAACATCAACCACCACACTACACTTTGTAAAAGCAAAAGTAAGTAGTAAGATCGATGAACCATCTTCAGTTCAGCCTTTATTATCATTATTAATATTATTGTTTTTGTTATTAATGTTACTCCACTATATAGAAACTGATTCATGGTAAAAATGGTCTGTGATGGCAGTGGCCCTTTAATATAGACATAGTTATTAGTGGCACTGCTACCATTCATTCTCTGTCATAATCATAATTAATTCAACCGAGTAAAAAGCCTTTTACCGTTCCCCTCCCTTTACTTTTCTTCACTTTTCAGTCTCTATGAGTTAGGTTTTATTAGGAAACCCCTTCCCCACTTTCTCTAACCTTTTTGCTCCCATTTTTGTTTGCGGCTTCATCTGCACAAAATGGATGTAAGCTTCTTTTCTTTAGTTGGGTTGCTTTTTAGTTACTCCGGGCTGCATCAGGGACATATATAGTTAACTAATGATTGGTGTTTGATTTATTGATTATGATAGGAATGGAAGAGAAACGCACACATACCAGCGTTTGGAAACTGGGATTTCACCAATGAGATGCCAATCACTCGCTATTTCGAGTGTGCCACACAGCCTCGCCAGCTCCGTTACACTTCTTCAACCAACCAAAATGCTCATCTTCGTCACCTTAACAAACCTCGTACCCTCCGTAATTATAATAAACAGGTTCCCAATTTATGATGATTATTTTTTTTAAAATTAGATTCCTCGACATTTAAAAAAAAAAAAAGTGTTTTGAAAGTGTTTGAGTTGATTTTTGATGGTGGGCACAGGAGACGAGGTACAAGAGGAATGTGAATGGTAACAAAGGAAAAGTGTACGACGTAAGGGAACAGGCAAGGAAGCCAACAAAAATAAGCAAGGAGCAACAAGATGACACCGTTCCACGAACTCCCAAACCTATTGACGAAGATCTCTATAAGATCCCTCCTGAACTTCTCCACACTTCCAACAAACGGGTGCATCACCAAACTTATTTTACTTTTTTTTAGTACCATTTTTGTGTTATCACTTGTTTTACTTAATTTTGTGTTTTTTATATATGCTAAACTCTTCTTGACCTAAATTATGTGCATGTTTTTGTAGAAGAAAATGGTGGGGTTCATTTCCAAGTGTCTTGTACTGTTTGTGTGCCATGAACAATGCTAATCCGGAAGAAATTAAATCTCTAAACGTTGTCATTCCGAGGAGTTTTTTTGGAGAGAACGAACGAATGTGTGTTAATAATGATGACAGTGATGTGAGCATGAATGTATTTTCCTTTTTATTTATTTTTCGTTTTGTTGGCAATAGATAGTTTCTTTCTTCATTCAAGTGAAGTCAGTTTAGGATCATTCTCATTCTCATTCTAATACTGTTTGTAAGTGTGGACTGAATGTATGTCCGAATGTCTAGCGTTAATTAATAGTGGTGGCTGTGGGGAAGTTTAATGTGTTGTCTTTTTCTTTGGATTATGCATTCATGCATAGACTAGACTACTCATTCATCCATTGTCATTTTCAGTAAGCAAATTACATCATTTCTTATTAACCAAGAAGGAATGGATGTTTCTAAGTAACTTTCTAAAAATTAAAAAAAAAATGCCCATTTCATGTGATTTGAGAAATATTTTAAGACATGATGGAAGGTTATATTATAAGAAAATTTTACTTAATTAAATGAGAATATTTTAAGATATATATGATGTAAGAATAGTAAAGTGTACAATATGAAAAAAAAATATTATAGTTTACCTAAAAATGCAATTGAAATAATTAATCTTTTGTGAATCAACTTAACTAGTGATATAATGATTAAATTTCTCATATGTGGTTATCTTAAATATTCAGAAAAATAGTTTTACTAGTCGTTGTGATTGTATCTAATTCGAATAAAGTTGTATTTGATAAAAATAGTTATGAATTTTAAGAAGAAAATATGATATGGAGAATAAAGTCATATCATATTAAAATGATTATATTGAATGAATAATTTTAGATATTCTTTTCTTGATTTTTCATCTCTAAATATCTATTTTATTTTAAATTAACTTCTAATTTTTGAAAAAATAATCTTGTATTACTACAACATAAATTACTGATCATAAGTTTAAAATATATAAAATAAAATTTTATTCAATATATTTCACAAACTAAAATGTTCATTATAAATTTAAAATATATAAAATAAAAAATTATTCAATACATTTCACAAACTAGAATGCTAATAAATTATAACCAGAAAAGAAAGCTTCGAATCAATTAATGACGTAGAAGTCTCTTCATTTATTGCTTCCATTTGATTCGCCAGCTCTTTTTTCGGCTTTTATCTTTCACTATTTAACTTTTCTTCCAACATTCTCGTCCATACCTTCAAGTACAAAATCTCAATAGTAAATCCTCGGTACTGTGAGTATAAAGGCCATTTAACACGCTGTATTAAACATGGTAAAATAAGTTACTATAACATTTATGATTTTATTATTTATTCAATGTAAACATATGTATAATTATTAAAAAATTATATTAAAATAATAGATAAATTAATCAGATTATAAAATTTGCTATTAATTTTTTAAAATGTCAGCTTACATAAAATACTTTTCATTACAATTCGAAATAAAAAAACCTACCCACACACTATATAACAATTTTTATTTTTTAATCAGCTCCTATAAAAATAAAATAATATCTCAAGTCATAATTTCATGTTTAAGATGTGGATCAAACTCTGGCATTTAGTTAAAGAATATAAATATCAAATCATTCAAATTAATAACTTTTGATACACTACATAATTTTAATATTCATTTTTATACCACTAAATATTTATATACCAATATTTATATCTTGCTATCTACATTGTATTTAATGTAGAGTAGTTATAAAGATATGGTGTCTTACATAATATTTGGCTGGACAAGAACGAAGGGAAGGGGAAAGGAAGGGTAAGGGAGAGATTTAAATTTGTCTTGATTGATTTAAATTTTGGGAGGAAAGGAGAGAGGAACAAAATTCCCGTTGAAGATAATTTTAGCTCCTATCTAATATTGTAAGAATTTGAAGGAGAATGAAAGAATTTTAAAATATTTGTAGTATAATATCCACAATATCGTTATTTATATTTTTAAATTTAAAATTATAAGAGTATGAAGGTAAATTAGTTTTTTTTTTTAAATTCTCCTCTCCTCCCATAAATCAAAAAAAAAAAAAGAGTTGTTACTTCTCAATCAAACAAAATTATAACTCCTCCCCTCCTTTCCTCTCTTCAATAACTTGTGTTTTATATCAATTTTTAAAGATTCAATTGTTAAATTTAAAGTTTTTAATGTATAGATCAAATATGTAAATATTTAAAAAATTTCAAAATCATTTGATATTTGTTTCATAAATTTAACACTTTTTTTTACACACTTTTTTCCTCTCCCTTTCAATTTTTACATTTACTCATTACTTTTTCTCTACTCTGTGTATTTTAGTAAGTAGTTTTAATTCTTTCAATTTTTACATTACTCTTTTTTTCTACCTTTTTTAGTTTTTACACATACATGAACCATATATAACTGGTGAACAACGATATTATAGGCATGTTTGGTTTTCTCAATAATGACGAAGGTGTTGAGTTCGACACCCATTTTTTCTTTGAATACTTTCTCTCCTTTCACATTTCCAAAAAAATTCAACATTAAATTTAGTATGTCAAAAAATGCTTTTTAGAACATTAATTTTAATATTCTTGAAAGTACTTTTCGGAATAGTAAAATTAGTGTTTATGAAAGTACTTTCCAAAAGTGTACTATTTTACATAATTTCAGAAAATTCTTTTCAAAACAGTAAATTTAGTGTTCCTAAAAATACTCTCTAGAAGTATGTTGTTTTATATAATCCTGGAAAGCTCGTTCTAAAACAACAGATTTAGTGTTATAGAATCCAACGTATGTAAAAAAAAAATTAAAAAAAAAATTTATAACGCTAAATTTAATGCGATTTCTAAAAGTGTAAGAGAGGAGAAAGAGATTGAAGAAAAAACCCATGTTTGACTTAGTACTTTTGAGGCTATCAAGAAGTTGCATGCGCATATAACGCTATCACCCACTGAAGCACCAATTCTATGTCTTGAGTTCAAGTGAAAATTGAAAGAAAAAAAATGGTAACAACGTGGAAATTGAAAGAGAGAGAGGTAAGAGAGTAATGTGAAAGCTAAAAGAATTAAAATTACCTACTAAAATAAATAAAGAGTAGGAGAAGGCAAGAAAGTGCATGTGAAAACTAAAAGGATGAGAGAATGAGGTCTGTGAAGAAAATAGAAAATGTTAAATTGAATGTTAGAAATGTAAAATTAAAAAATATATTAAAAATATTTTAAGATTTAAAAAAAAAAAAAAAGAGGTGCACTTATTAAAAAGAAAAGTTGTATATAACATAAGTCATGACATAAATGTGGTTAACTATGTTAATTAGTCAAATTTATTCGAAAAAGTTCGTTCCTTAAAAAAATTGGAATGAACAAATGAGAAGAGGGAAAAATATTTTGACTCATGATATATATATATATATTTTTTTTATAAGTACACTTCCTTTATTTAAAAAAAAAACTTAAAATATTCTTAATATTTTTTTATTCTTTAATTTTATAATTTTACACCTCCAACTTTTAATTTATGACTTTCTTCCTCTTTTTCACACGCCTCTTTTTTTCTTCCCTTTAATTTTTACACATAGCCCTTTGTCTTTTATCTCTTCCTTATTTTAGTAGGTAGTTTTGATTTTCTCGATTTTTACATTATTCTCTTCTCTCACATCTTTCACTTTTCACATGCATCTAACTGTAGAACTAGTATGCAACAACGTTGTAAGTACGCGTGACTTCCTCGACATTTTTTGTCGAGCTAAACGCACATTTTTTATTTCAACACTTCCAACCCTTTCATACCTCCAAAAACCTTAATATTAAATTTAGTGGTATGGAAAAGACATTCCAAAACATTAATTTCACTATTTCGAAATACTTTTATGAACAGTGAACTAGTGTTTCGGAAAATATTTTCTAAAATTGTATTTTTTAAAAATGAGGTGTACTTATTAAAAATAATAATAAAAGGTGTATATATGATTTTTCATATATATATATATATATATATATATATATATATATATATATGGGGAGGGATCAAACGACACCGGTGTAACTTTTACTAAGTGTTACAC